TCTTTTTTCTTTTTTCTTTTTTCTTTTTTCTTTTTTCTTTTTTCTTTTTTCTCTTTTTTCTTTTTTCTTTTTTCTTTTTTTCTTTTTTCTTTTTTCTTTTTTCTTTTTTCTTTTTTCTAATCATGTCCAGTTTGTTACAGATCTATGTATATTTTGTTCCATGGGATGCTCCATGATTTTACTCTTTCCCTTAGTAAAAAAGGGAAGTTGAGATACTTAGACAAATGGCATGCATGAACATTTAGAGAAGAGTGACAAATGCAGGAATATGAATTAACAAACACCAGCAGAAACGTGTCAGAACATTTAGAATTAGATAAACTGGGTACCACTGAAACAGTGCTGCAAGGTTGTGTTTGCCTGTTTAACCAAGGAAGACAGATGTTTAGTGAATAAAAAAATGTGTCTTTGTGGTAAAAAAGCAACTTGAGATGACAATATGTTTATAGTCAGAATGAAAGTCAGAGAAGTAGTGGCTTTTGTCTTTTCATCTTAAGACTTGTTGAAGCACTACGCTCCTGTTACAAGGAAGTCAACGCCAGTAGCATATGCTGCGCCTGACTGGTACTTGCACCACTCCAGTCCTCCAGCAACCAATGAGCCACGGTAGGTCTGCCAAGGTCCTGAATAACTTCTCATGTTCTCTCCTTGTCTGTGTTTCAGAATAATGTTGTCATAAAGTGATAGATTTCAATTGCTGCTACAAACGGTTGTTAAATCTGTCTGCAGGAACAGTATTTCCACTCTGCCTGATTATATGGTTCACAAAGAGTTTAATGATGACCATCATCGTAGTAATTATGAGACAAGAAGAGGGCCTTTTGATTTTGATACGAAAAGTGTTTGGCAACGAGATGCTGAGGACAAAGAAAACACAGAGAAAAAAAAGGTATGATGTGAATTGCTCTTTTTGCAGAGCTTGTGAAGATGCTTCTAACTGAACTTGTTAGTTCTTAGTGAAAAGAAGTTCCTGTCCACCATGGTTTCCATATTCCAGAAGAAATTTTTATGTTGCAGCTAGAGAATGACAATAAAACCACGTTGAAGTGCTACGGGTGTAACATATGAACCAGAAATGTGAATTTCACTTGCATTATATGGTGTGTATATTTAAGTGTGAATGAAAGGCAGGACTTAGTTTCTAATTTCATGTGTTTTGTTTCTCTGCACTTGATGAAGTTGAATGAAATTCTTGATCAGAGGTCTTGGGAGGAAGAAGGAAAAAGAAGGACGAAGAAGGAACAGAAAACTTATCTGAAAAAGCTCAAGTTAAGAAGTTCAAGTTAAGGAGAGAATCCTGAAAGAGTCCCCACTAGCTGCCTAGAAGTTTTATCCTATGCAAAATAACTGTAGGGCAAAGTATGCTTAGAACAGTTTTCTGTGGGGTTTTGTGCTGGAAACCTATCTGCCATCCTCCATCTTTCACCCTCCCCCTCTTGGCCATTTAGATGTTTAAGATTTCAGTTTTTATAAAATGATATGTAATTGTGGGTGCTTCAGTTACTGTAACCCTTTAGAATATATGGAAATACTTTTGATGTAGGTGAACAGCAGTAACTCTTTTCTACTTGAGTACAAGTGCAGACACTGGACATTTTACAAAAGTCTTTAACCTTTGCTGAGGCAAGTAATGAGTGCAGCTTCAGAATGATGTGTGCACAAACTAATTTGCTGATGCCTTTTGGGAAAACCTATTTTCAGTCAGCCTCAGAGCAGTGAAAACAGGAACTCACACTGCCATGGAAGCCTTACAGAGGATCAAAACAGGAAAAAGATTAAGTGCTCCCTTAAGAACCCATTATCTTCAGTGCTCTAGGAGTCAAATTTTGTAACAGTGTGTAGTTCATGTCCATGTGGGGACTGGTAGAAGGTCTGTTTCTCTTAGTGGTGGGGTTTGAGAAAGACTTTGAGGCCCAGTTTGATTCATATTCATGAGCATGAGAATTCCCATATGTTTTCTTTATCACTGAATACACAGTGAATAGATGTTACATATTCAGCTCAGATTCCAAATCTGTATAGGCCATGATGTATATTTTATAGTACTGTTTCGAAAGCAGAAATTGAATTTTGTCTAGAGTACAAAATCCTGAACCTTACCCTTGAAGTTCTCAAGACGTGAGATTCTACAGCACTTGCCTTAGCTTTAGCTCTCCCTTCATACCACTGTCTCTGAAATAGTTGTCCTGTTTCACAGGACCTTTTCTGTACCCTCCTAAGAAGTGCAATCCTATACCTTTATACATCACATGATTCTTCCTTCAAACTTACATCTCCTATTTCCTTTTGTTTAGGAAAGGTTTCTCTGACTCAGTGTTAAGAGCACTTTCCTGAAAAATCTTCAAGTGAGACACAGTGGAACTACTCCTATCAAATAGTCTTGATTTCTACTTTTCTGACTGTATATTTTCTATAATGAAAGGTTAGATTTTTCCAAAAACATCACAGACAGATTTCTAGGCAGTATTCAGTGTACATGTTTGACTAAGTGATGATATTGCAGTAAGAAACTACCTCAAGTAGTTAAGTGATATTGAGTGTCTAGACAACATATTTCAGTCCAGTCTGACTAAGTCTAAGAAGAGAGACTTAGGATGCAATCATGGAGAAAAATCCCAGAGGGAGTCTGTAGGGGCAAGTGCAGAAGCATTTAAACCTCCAAGGGTACTTGCTCTACTCAGTTTGCAAAACATTGTTCCCAAGCAGGCTCTTGCTCTGGAGATTTAAAGATTTATGTTATGTTCTTCTGAAGTGCTAGCATCTCTGCCAAATTGGAGAAGCATTATTTTGCTTTTGTACTATGTGAACTAATGTATGTGTGACCCAACAGAGAGGGCTGTGCATGGGTGGTAAATTAGTTGGAGAGGGCATCAAAGTTAGTGTCAAACAATTGTAACACAGCACTAGTAAGATCAGTATCTTGTGTCTGAAGTCATAACTTTCAGGCATTTTGCAATCAATAAAGGATTTTTGGTATTTCTTAAGGGATACATTTTCTGTAGGTTGAAAGGAGCGATCCTTTTCTGTAGCTGTTCAAGTCATGCAAGTAAGTAACCGTGCTTCTGATATAAGTAGGCTGAAAGTCATTGAGCGATTCCTGCTTTCAGTACTGTTTTCATCTTTTTAACTACTCTACCCTAAGTGTTTGGGAACTGCTGAGTCACAGTCTGAACCTCTGATTGATCACCTGAGGCGAGCAATGAGTCAGCCATGGGAGCACAGCTGAAGGCAATTTACCTATGCTGCTGGAAGGGGTGGAGCCTGGCTCCACCTCTCCTAGACCCATTTAAGAGCTGGCTACCAGTGGGGAAGGATCTCTTCTGGAGATCTCTGGTAGAGTTTTGTAAGTGAGCCCAGGATATGGGTAAGCTTTCTGTCTATTCTTTTTGTTATTGTAATCTGCTTTGCTTAGCTTTCTTGTCTATTACGTAGTTATAGCATCTTAATATTTATTGATTATTCACCTAAGCATTTGTTCTCATCTCTGTGTCTAGTTTGGTCCATGGCAAATTGCCTCATGTGCTGTTTCTGTAAAATGGAGACAAGCCTATGGATCTTTATTGGATGCTGTCTTTGAGTTCTGTAGGCATACACAGGTGTATGTGCCTTATCTATTAGTAGAAACAAACAGTACTAATAGAGCTTTCTGTTGTGCTTTTTTGCTTATGACCTTTTTACTAGAGCTGAGCTGAAGGAGCCTCTAGTTTCTGTAATAGACATTTCTTAGCCAAGCATTTAAGAAGCCTATCCCTGCAAAAAGTTGAAACCTATCTCATGGTTGATATGCAGCTGCAAAGGTTTGTTGAAGAATAAGGGGCTTTTAACTGTATCTAGGCTCACTTTGTGCAACTCCTGTTGACATTATTTTCTTCCAAGCAAAGGATAATGTGATCAAGTAATCCAGCTGTACACTTAGTATTTGGAATATAAAGCATTTTTGTTGTACTAAATCATAACCTTTAAATACAAATTTTGTGTTTACATTTTTGGTGTGTGCTGTCTAGGTCTTGTTTTTCCTCTGTGCTTCTCTGCTGCTCCTAACAAAGGACAGGTCTGAAGAACTGCAGTATGATGTTTCTTTACATAATGTTAGCCTTGACAAAGAATATAAATACACTTTTGAATTTGATTGTTATTGGAATTCACTGTCTTGAGTGAAGATGCTCTTTATCTTTCTTAATTTCCACCTTTATACATTAATATGTTTGGGTGGGAATACATACATATGTATATATGTGCTGTATTAAAAGCTTTCTCAGGTCAGCATTTTATCTCAAAGAAATTTAATCAAATGTAATGCGGGATTTTGTTCTTCATCACAGGAGCAAGGATTTCACTCAGGTACTATTAGCTTTCCGTGTTGGAAAGTAGTCACTGTTGTTCACCTACCACTCAAGCATGCCAAAAAAGTATTGAGATGAGGGTATTTCATTGTTTTTTCTCAGTGAAAACATTTACCTTTTTACAGTCCGATAGGACTGTAATTGCATCATGAGTTTCAAGTAGTATCACTTCAGTTTGTTCCCAATAAATCACAATTAGTGTTTCTGGAACGTGAAATTGGTAAATGTGTACATATAGCCTGTAAGATTAATACTTCCAGATCTGAAATAATGCAGTTTAATGGTGAATAGAAAACAGCAGTAGGTTTTCTTGAGCAGTAGGACAGTGTTTTTGAAATGTAAAGCAGAGATGCAGTGCTACAGCAGGTAAGCACATATGGCTTTTAAATGCAGTTGTAGGCAGCTGATTATTTTCGTTTTTTAATCTCCATGTTGGACAACAGACCCTGGTCTTCATCCCTCACTACACCTTTGACAGGTGTGCCAGTTCTTCAACTCTTTAAGTTTCAATGTAGTTGTCAGTTTGTTTGGCTGAAGTCTAGTAGTTCATCCACTAATTCTTTGTCAGATTTTGGAATTTCTCTTCTAGTAAAACTCTGGCTTGAATAAAGTCTGTAGGAACTTCATCATTGGCTGAACATGTTGGCTTATATTTACCTTCTGCTTTAAAATAAGTGGAACTGTCTGTCTTAGGCTCCACTTGTTCCCAGAAAAGAACAAAATCCACACTCGCCAAACATTTGTAGCTGCTTTAACTTCTTTTTAATGATGGCTTGTTTTTGGATCAGTTGTACTCAAACACTAATTTTTGACCTTTCCTAGCTAAAGCTACACATGGTCCTTAAAACATTTGTTGCGTGCTTATATCTGTTATGGCATTTTTTTTTCCTCATGTGTGCATTTAAGTTGTTTTGTAGTTGTACAGTCTTGAGGATTCCCCCTACACTCTTTATGCAATGAAGGAAGCTGTACAGTCTTTAAAAATGCTGATTTTTTTTCTTTCTTTCTCTTGAATCTCTGAATTTCTTAACCAGCTGTTAATTGAAAAATCCTAAGGAATTGTTGGGGAAATAGCATTAAATGCTTTTATTTGAGTGGGAAGTACGTTGACCCTTTGGCAGCTGTTTTAAATGCTGTTAGGAAAAAAAACAGCTTTGTGTGTTGTTAGTACAGTTTTAAGATTGTTATGTCCTTTAATATAACTCTTTTGACATCTCTTGTTTACTTTTATAATGGCTCCTTTTGTTAAATTAAGATTTCTCTAACACAGGTAAAGCTCCCAGCTATAAATGCTAAATATCCAAGCAGAACAGCAAATGTTTGTATGAACAAGGAGTTCAGTGGGAAAAATAAGCTTTCCTTTCCACCAATGTAAGTAGTGTGCTTATGAAATTCATTCATCTCCTAATCCTGAAACCATTTGTGCATTAACATTACTCTGAACTTGCAGAGAGTGGGGGGGTTTGTGTATGGCCTTTGTGAACCCATACTGCTACTAAACTTGCTGACTAGGACTGAACTAGTTTGATAAACACCTAAAGCAACAGGAGTTTAACTTGTATGGTAAAGCTATTGAAAATGTCTTTGCTTTAGATAAAGTAGGCATCAAGTTGTGTAGTAAAATATCTTCATGTAGTGCTCTTTTATTGCATTCAAAGTGATCTGTTCTTTAGTTGTTTATGCCAGTGAACAGATGCAAACTATAATGTATATTCCATGAACGTTGACTACAGGGATGCAGGTAGGACTACCATTTTTTTGAAATCATGTCAGCTAAACCCTAAGAGAAGGTCAGACACAGCAGAAATTCTTATAGCTGAGAATTTGCTCTATCAAAGTGTTATTGTGCTCTGTGTATCTTTTGTAGTTTCCAAGGAAATATGTTGGAGCATTACTTTTGGAGCAACCTACCGATATTTACCGTTAGTTACCTATCAGTTATGTAGGGCTATTCTGTGCAAAATAAATTTCCTTCCTAACTGTTTTGGTTTACTTATACTGCTATTTTCTTTTAACACATTTTGACTTACAGGCCTGCTCAGAGAAAAGGTGAAGCAATAAACTTTAGCAAATTAATCAGCAATGGTTATGGAACAGACTGGCTTCTGCAATATAGTGGATGTGGAAAAAAGATTCAAAATACATCAGAAGATAGCAAGAAGTCCCAAGGTAAAATTACTGAAAGCTTGCTCTTCTAAAATGAGTTGGGATTTGAAGGCAACATCCATAGGTAGCCAGAATAATTGCAGTCTCTCCCTTTGAATAAGGTGAGACTTAGTGAGTCACCCGGCTTGACTTATGATAGTACCCTATGGCCAGCTTAGGAAACATGCCCTCCTGTTTGTTATCAGGAAAGGTGGGTGCTTTAATGTATTTTTTTACTCTGCTGTTGTAAAAGCATGTTCTGTTCCAATCCGAGGGCTTCCATTTGGCATATTTTTGTAAAATCCTGGAGAGACATCTATCTTCCTGCTTAAAGTTAAGCAGACAGTAAAACAGTTGCTATTTGTTGTGAGTAGTGCTTGGCCCTACTTTTTTTCTGAAAACCTTGTTACAGTTTGTCATCAATACATCTGTTTATGAAATAGATCACTTTTTATAATTCATAAAAACAACTGTATCCACATGATTAAATAACTTGGCATTCCAATGGTTTTATTGGATTAAAAAATCATCTGGTGCTTATTTATTATCATGCACAATAGAAGTAGCTATGAAGTACTTCTCTTCCAAAACAGATGGAAATAAAGGCTAAAGGGTAAAATAGTCCTCCTTCTTGAAAACCTGTTGCTTATGCTTGTGTATGAACTATGGATTCGTGGCTTTCTTGAACTTGATATGTCTGTGTGGAAGGCTTTAGTGATCAGGGAGTTTAGTTTCTTTGACACTTGGAGCTCTCTGAATAAACTTTTTGTCTTCCATTCATATTAAAAATAATACATTTGCAGTAATTTTGCTTAATATGTAAATGTAAATATGTATGTAAAATTACATATATCGCACCTCAAATACTATGTTCAGTTTTGGGCTTTTCACTGCAAGAATACACTGAGTTTCTAGAATGTGTTCAGAGAAGAGCAGTGCAGCTGGTGAAGGGGCTGGAAAACAAGACATGACAAGAAACAAAAGGAACAGAGGTTGCTTAGTATGGAGAAGAGGCTGAGGGGGACTCTTACTCTCAGCAACTACCTGAAAGAAAGCTGTAGTGAGGTGTGTGTTGGCCTCTTTTCTCAGGTGGTGAGTGCTAGGACTCAAGGAAACAGCCTAAAGTTTGTGCCAGAGGAGCACTAATTTTTTTTTTTTTTTTTTCATGGGGAGGATGGTTAGAGACTGGCTGCCCAAATGGGTGGTGGAGTCACTGTCTCTGGAAGTACTTAAGAAAAGTGTAGTTGTGGTGCTTAGGGGCTTGGTTTAGTGCTGCACTTGGTAGTGTTACACAATCGTTGGACTTCATGATCTCAGAGGTCTTTTCCAAGCTAGATAATTCTATGATTCTATATTTCTTTGTGCTACTGTTTAGAAGAAAAGCTGCTACAAAACTAGGGGATGAAGTCAGATCTCAGTCTGGACCTGACATTGGGTATTTAACCTGAGAAGCTGCTTTTTGGTTTTGATGTTATTCTCTTCATGCCTTCAGGTGTGCACTGAAGGAAGTGCTTTTAATTTCTTCACACCTGAGTACTTTTATCTGCTTATTTGAAGTAATCAATAGCATGAGCATGTTGCAGTTCACATTTGAGGTGAAGTTTTTTCTGTTGTCTGTCTCATAGTATACATCCAAGACACATCAGACAGGAGAGATAAAACACTGTATACAGAAATCTGTAACTTGTGTTGTGTTATAGTTTTGCATCATACTGCAGACTTTGCATGTAGCTTGTCTATATTCTTGGGTTAAAGTACAGAAATCTGTGTATTTTGATGTGTGAAAGTGAATGTTAGCTGACCTTTTTATTCTTAAGGTTGAAGTTATCAAAAGTACTTTAATCTGTTTTTATTGCAGATTCAGAGCCATCACAGTCTGAATCAGCACCTACAAGCGATGAATTGAAGCCACAGTTTCAGGAGTGTAAACAGTAATTAGAAAGGCTATTGGGGAAAGTAAGGTATTATATAGCTTATGATAAAGTCCACTATTTACATCTTTGCTTGATTACTTCTATCTTACTAGCTTACATTTATAGTTGAACTCATTTCTGATTGTAGTTCAGCTGAATTATAACACTGATTAACATCATTGTGCTCAATTACAGCAAACTTTAAAGAAAAGCTGCCAGTACATATACCTGGATTTTTTTTTTATTTATATAAAAACTGAAGTTCTCTTCTATACCAGACTTGTTGGCATTTCCTATTGAAGACTAATATTGAAGGAGATGCATCAGTAGGCTAAAAGTGGCATGGGCTAAGTTACACATTTATACATTCAGCCTTTTAAGTTAAAAATAAATATTTATCCTGAATTCTGAATGCAACAAATGTATTATATGCTAGATACTTTTCTTTACTCAAAGCAATAAAACAATTTGTACTTTGAAAAACAATGTATCCAAATTATTTAAGGCTTCTGAAATATGCATATGGACATGTTAACACCTGTTCTTTTGTGTGCTTGAACTAGAACATAACCTCAAATTCTATGAAAAATTAAATGCTTTATAATAAAAACTGTTAGGAAGCTGATCCAGTTTCAGTGAGATTTTTTTGCTTATGCTATGAAAAGTAAAGTTTTTCATAAATGAAATTGTACTTTTATGTTTGAGTGCACTCATCACATTGTACACCTCTGAATCCGAGAGGTGAATATTTTAAAATGTTTTACTGAAATTACATTTATTTGAACAGTGCATAGAATAGATCAGTTTGGTTGGGAGGAAAGCATGCTACTGAAAGCATTGTTCAAATTCCTTGAGTGCTAACAGGCATGGGACATCAACCCTTGGGAAGCTTGTTTGTGTTTGACCACCTTCTCAGTAAAGATGCTTTTCCTCATGTTCAGTTGGAACCCCTCTGGCACAACTTTGTGCTGTTTTGTGCCTCCTTCTGTTGGTGACCAGTGAGGGCAGACCAACACTTCCTTTTCCACTTCTCCTACTCATGAAGTTGTAAAAACCAGTGAGGTTGTCTCTCAGCCTTCTTTTCTCCAGACAAACCCAATGTCCTCATGCACTCCTCATGGGATGTGGCTTTCAGCCTTTTCATGAGTGTTGCACTGCTCTGCATGCTTCCAAGGACCTTAATATTCTTTTTACACTGTGGAGCCCAGAGGTGCACACAGTACTCAAGGTGAAGCCACACCAATACTTAAGAAAGGAAAAAAACATGTGAAAATGGCTTAACACACAGTTACTTGGCTGGTTGGCAAAATTTTCCAAATGTAAAAAGAAAAAGTTTAAGTAACATGAAGCTTCATCTGAGATGGGGAAATAAAATAAATGCAATTTTAAGTTAGTTTTAACTTAAAAAAAAAATTGTGAAGTGGATTGTGTGCAGATATGTTGAAACCTTTAATTTTAGTCTTGTAGCAGTCTTTAATGTAATTTTCTAGGCTGCAGTACCAGGGGATGTCAGAGCTGGAGCTTATTGTGTTGAAACCTTACCAGTAGGAAAACTCTCTTGTCATTATAGAAGGGCACTAAGGAATAAGCCTGTGTGAAGAAACTGGATGCATAACAGGCAAATTGTTAATACCCTTGGGATTTCAGTTATATATATTTCCTCACAAAAGACAATTGCCAATAGTTGCTTAATACTCTGGGAAAAATAAGCACCATTTAATTATTTTTCTTCAGAATTGAGTCATATGAATATACTTAATCAAGCAATTCAGTTGTGTTCACTTAATGCAGCCTTTGGTTACTTCTTTTATTTTTATCACCTATAAAAATGTATTATGAAGTTGGGCTTCTTGTTCCCACCAATGATAAACTGCAACATTAAAAAGAATACAGCTTGAGAAATGTAGCATAACTTTGTGAACTGTCAGCAGTATTACTGCTTTTCAGTCATACTTTGATATTCCAGTTCTAGGAGAAACTTTTTTTACAGATACTGCTTTCAGTTAGTAGAAATGCTGTACTGCTTAAAAATGTAAAATAAAGGAGAAATGGGAAGATGATTAAACTCTTTCGTTAAACTGCTTAACAGTGAGGCAGCAAAATCTTTTCTAACTCTCATCAGTTGAGTAAGAAATTTTATTTCTTAAAAAAAATACTGAATTTGTTTCAATTTTATTTCTTTAGAAAGCTTTCTGTAAGGTGGTTAGTACAAATTCACTTCAAGTTGGAGACCGTAATGTCATGGAGAAATAAGAGCATGGGTATTTAAAGGTATTGACAAATTTATAGATCTCCTGATCATGTGAACTTAAAGATACTTGCTGAATCAAAGCCTGCAAAATCAGTTCCATAAAATAAGAATTCCTGTGAGAGTGTTCATAACTCCGGTACTGCTGACTTGAAGATTCCAACCATCCTTTTCTTTGGTATGGTCTCTTTTTCTTGTTAGGTCTGTACAAAGTTCCCTAAAATAATTTTATTGCCTTGCGTAGTTTGATGTATAATCCCTCTTCGCTAATCTTGAATGAATGTCCTCTGTATTGGAGTTCTTGTCCACAATTGTCCATGTTTGGTGTCTATTAGGGTGGTGAGGCGCTGGTACAGCTACCCATACAAGCTGTGGTGCCCTATCTGTGGAAGTGCTCCAGGCCAGGTTGGATGGGGCCCTGGGCAGCTGAGCTGGTGGCTGGCAGCCCTGCCCATGGCACATGGTTGGGGCTGGGTGATCTTCAAGGAGCCACTCTGTGGTTCTGTGACTTTTAAATTTTTTTTTTTTTTTAAAGAACTTGTTAGAGGCAGAACAGCCAAGATCCTAACTTGGTAACTCAGCGCTGTTCAAGTGCTTTACTGTAATTGTGTTCTTAGTAGTTTGTGTTTTGGTGGTTTTTCTTTTAAAAGTGTAAGCCATATCTTATTTTAATGATCTCTTCTTATCTTGCATCCCATTAGGTATTGCCCAGAGAACATTCCTCAAATTCTCAGAAGTTTCCTTAGTGTGCTGTTAATGTATACACAGCTTTCCTTAGTCAGGCCAAGGAGGAGTTTGCTATGCACAGTCAGCCAACTGAATCTTCACAGATCAGTTTGAATACTGTGAGTTAAAATATTAACAACTTGAAGTGCTGTTGGAGACTAAGATTTCTTCTTATAAAAGCAGGTGGCAAGCCCTGGAATTTGTTTGCACATTCAGAGTAATGGAAAGCTGCAGCAACAACAAAATTCACATGTTCTTCAATAAGCATCAAATAAAAGTAGTGTAACAAATCAGAAAGTTCCGGATGAATTCACAGGTGGAGAAGTTTTCTCAAGTTCACCTTATTTCACTAATCATGTTATTTTGTTTGCTTTACAGTCAATACAATCACACAATGGCTAAGTTTTCGAAGTCATCAGCAGTTGCATTTAATAGCAATGGAAGTTATTAGTTCTGGAAGGGCTTTCAGAGAGCTGCTGATGTAAAAAGCTGGGCACTCACTCACAAAAATCTAGCATTGCTTGTTTTAAATGCTGGAACATTTACTTAGCTGCATTGTGCTTCATCTTTGAGCTGAATATCTTTAAGTGACATAATTTCATTTTTTTCATACTGATTGCTTTGCAAGACCTAAAATATAACAGAAGTGCAATTTCATTTTATGAATTACATCCAAGTGTATTGAATATGTGAATACTTATAATTCCAGATTAAGATTTAAAAATAATTTGGCAGTTTAGATACGTGAAGAATAACTTTCCTTTTACGTGCAGCCACTTAACTGTAGGAACATCTAAAGGCTGTTCTCATTGTAAAGTGACTGAATATATGCATCATTTTATTTCTTCCATCTTTTTAGACTAGTTTATATTTAAACCCATTTATTTTGTACCGCAATGAAAAAAATGAAAAATTGAATTGGTTCATTCATTTCTTAAGCATCTGTAGTGTCACTGATTTCAGCATATCTGTTTCTTGAAAACTTGTGTCTGCATTGAACGTGCAGATTTCAGTTGAAAAAGATGTAGAATTAATCCTGTAGAATTAAACCTGTCATAAGTGTTAAAGGCAGAGGCACAGCCAGTATTATCTCTGTTCCTCTGTTTACTGTTAACATAGTTTTTAGAAGCTCTTTTTGCTGTCCAAAACTGTACTGACCAGCTTCAACTCTTATGTAGCTTAGTCTAGGCTGCACAGATTTTCTCCTTACAATGGCAGATGGCATCTCCATAGTCTTCTGACCTTGCTGTCAGCAGTCATACACTTTCTTATTCTACTTAAGTTCTAGAAGAACCCTATTCTTCCAGGCTAGCCTTCTGTCCTGCATACTTGTCTTCCAACCCTTTGGAATTGCCTGTTCCTGTGCTCTCAAGAGGTTGTAATTAAAAAGTGAGAAGCACTAATGGGCCCCAATGCCTTCAAAAGCTGTTTCCCAGGGGACCTCATTAACTAGTTCCCTGAGCAACCTGAAATCTGCTTTCCTTATATCCAGAGCTGAAGTTTTGGTGGCAGTTTTTGTCCTATCTCCAAAGATTTAAAAATCAGCTGCTTCATGATCGCTATGACTAAGGCTTTCTACAGTCGCTGCTCCATCCGTGAGACCCTTTCTCTTTACAAGTAACAAACCTCTATAGGTTACTCCGAAAGTAATTCCTCCTGTTTATTTCTGTGGAAAATATAACAGATAGAAAGAGCACTATTTTATAGAGCAAATTCTCAGCAAAACAGAACACAGTATCCACCATTAACTATGCATTTTCATCAGTGGTGATCAAGAGCATGCATGCTGCTGTTGTAAAATTCTGCACCAGTGGAAGTGACCTGCTGTTGCCACTGTTGAAATGCACCTCCTACCACTTCATTGTAATCACATCCACTGTTTGTTCTCCGTAAACATTCAGCAAGTGTCAGTGAATGTCAGTGGGTGCTATTTTTTCTTCATGGAGGAATTTGATGACACACCTATGCTCCATATGCACTTCCTTGTCAGACACCATTCTATCAGAATGGCCTCTCTGTTGCCATCTGTCACACAGCAATAAAATATAATATTGGCAGGAAAGTTCAACCTCTACTGCCATACCATCAATATGTGCCTCTTACATTGCAGGGCAACCCCTTAAATGGGAGGCATTACTTTCAGAGCAGTTTCTCATAAGAACAAGGGTGGTTTGGTCTAGAAATCTTGCATAGTTCCTTAAAGAATAATTCATCAGTGTTGTCATCCTTGCTGGGCGGTCCACAGTAGACTTGCCCAGTGACATCTGCTTTATTTGCTTGTCCCTTAATCCTTAACCAGCGGCTCTCAACTGTGTCATCACCAACTACGAGCTCTGTAACCAGCTCCTTCCTCACACAGCACCAGCCCCTGCCTTGCCTGTCCCTGCTGAAGGCCAAGAATGACACACAAGTCATCCATCATGATATGGGACTTTTCCCACCAGGTTTCACTTATGCCAATGATGTTGTTGGGACTGAGCCAAGGCTTCTACCTCCTCTTGCTTGTTCCTCATGCTATGTGCATTCATGTAGAAACATTTCAAATTTGTTGTATCCAGCACCTTGTGGAACAGACTGAAGGATCTCACTGTCACATTCTTGAAGTTCGGCATGTCATCCCATAGCTTATCACTGCTGAGCCTAGTTTTATA